CATAGGCAGCTATGCTGACTTGTCTAACCTTAAATTGTTAATCACTAGACCCAAGTGGACCCTTTATGTCCACTGGAATTCATGCTAGTCTCTCAGCATATTCACTCATCTATGTTTCATGCAGAAGGATCAAGAAATGTAAGTTCTTTACAAAGTAGGGTTTTTTTTTTTCTTGCTGCCCAAAGTAACAGTATACCTAAATACTAAAAAGAATGTTCAAAGTAGTATAAATTGTTACATTTGCCAAAAGTTTGGTGTAGCAACATTCTTTTTGAGCCATCTCTCTTCTCTTGTTCTCCAACCTGTAAACTCTAGCTGCCTCCTCCCCCGCCCTGAAAAACAGCCTCAGTGGGGGCAGGTGCCTGGCTCTGTGTGGGTCCTCACTCCCTGCACCGCAGCCTGGAAACTCAAACCAGCAAGCTGGGATCCTAGATGAGTAGGGCTCCTCTCCTTTGCTTCCCATTCTTCAGAGGTCACTGTCTCATTTCTTCATGCCCAGTCTTGCAAACCCTTGCTTAATGTATTTTCTCTGCTTTGTGATAGCTTCAAATGGGGAAGAAAATTCAGTTTTGTTACTCCGTCTTGTCCAGAAGTGAAAATGAGGGGAACATGGGTTTCTTGGCACAGAATTTTGCTGCCTATGAGAAGAATATTGGTGAAATCACTAATACATTTAGAAGTGGGGAATAACCCACAGTATCATATGATAGATTGTAATTCCTCGTGAAGTAAAAACAAAATATTAATTCCCTGGACCTTCCTCTGAAGCTCTGGAATTCCTAGGAAGTTTCTGGCTAATAGATCAGTGTCCATGGACAGGATTATTACCAGTGCCCTCAAGCAGTATGGGAAATCTGTGCAAGCTGTGCTCTATATTTTAAAAAGTTTCCCGGGGGTCCCTGGGTGGCTCAGTCGGTTAAGTGTCTGACTCTTGATTTCCACTCAGTCATGATCTCAGGGTTGTGAGATTGAGGGCCCGTGTAGGGCTCCACCCTTGGAGGGGAGTCTGCTGGAGATTCTCTCTCTCCCCCTCCCTCTACTCATCCCCCTACTCAAGTTCTTTCTCTCTAATAAATAAATAAATTTAAAAAAATTTTTAAAAATTTTATTTGCTTATTTGACAGTGAGAGAGATAGCAAGAGAGAAAACACAAGCAGGGGGAGTGGGAGAGGGAGAAGCAGGCTTCCCGAGGAGCAGGGAGCCCAATGCGGGGCTCTATCCCAAAACCCTGGGATCATGACCTGAGCCGAAGGAAGATGCTTAACAACTGAGCCACCCAGACTCCCGATAAATAAATCTTTAAAAAAAATAAAAATAAAAAAAGAGTTTCCCCATCATGAAGATTATATTTTGTCCCTCTTGTATGCCTATGATGCATATCACAATTTACTGTATTCTATCATTTTGTTGTTATTTATATTTTTATTTATTACAACTGTGAAATTGCTCACGGCTTTATATATCTTTCTATTTCCAAAGGTTTGGGGAACATTTATTGAATCATATATGATATGTTATTGAACTGAAGCCTATAAGGATCTTTTTGGGGGATTTTGACAATACATGTTGCAATGTATGTAAGATGCCATTGAAATTTTCTTATCTTGGACTCTATCCCTTTGAAAAATTCTGAAAGTATCCAATATTAATGTTTTCCTGTTGCTAGTTCAAAAATAACTATTATTTTTGCTGATTTTAATATAGCACTATATTAAATAATATGCATTAAATGTTAAGAAAAAAGGCAAAATAACCAAAATCCTTAAGTAATCAAAGGTGAGGACACCTGGATGACTCAAATGGTTAAGCGTCTACCTTTGGCTCAGGTCATGATCCCAGGGTCCTGGGATCAAGTCCCGCATCGGGCTCCCTGCTCAGTGCAGAGCCTGCTTCTCCCTCTGCCTCTGCCATTTCCTCCGCTTGTGCTCTCTGGCTCTATTTCTCTGTCAAATAAATAAATAAATAAATAATCTTAAAAATTTTTTTTAAAAAGTAATCAAAGGTGAAATTTATGTAAGTACCTGTGTATGTGTGTGTGTATTTGAATGCATATATATGTGTATATGAAATAAATCCTAAGAAAATCAGCTACAGGAGAATTATATATTGAATCCAGGTTCTAAAATATCTATATTTTACCTACAACGTACTTTAAAAAAAAATATTCTTTTTTATATTATGTAGAATGATGGCTTGGTCATTTTACAATATTCATAACACAAATGCTGAAATTGTTTTCACTGAATATTAATAAATTAGAACAAAGTGAATATTTTAATATAATGGTTAAAGCAAAAAAGTGTATTTTAAATAGCTTTAGTTTTCTCATATTTAAAAGGGGATTCAAATGAATTCAGCCAACATTTATTGAGAAATGGATATAAAAGTTGATTCTACCTAACATGATAAAAATGTGAAAGTTGTTCAGAATGATAAAACTACATAAAACTGAATTCATGAATTTGGTTCTGTATTTGGGCATGAACATTGGATATGAGCTAGTTAGCATTTTGTGATTTTTTTTTCCTTTCTTCTTTCTTCTTTCCCTGCCTCCCTCTTTTTATCCTTATTTCTTTTTCTTTCTTTTTTCCTTCTCCCTTCATTTTGAAATATTCTTTTAACTTGGTGAGATTGTATTTAACAGAGCTAGCACAGTACTATCTCTACTAGATGCTTAAAAAAAAGTACACCTTAATTCTCTGTTGCAATTCCTTTGTTATTTCTGAATTGTCATTAGTTTAATTAATCAAAATTTTATACTATTTATTTTGAGGTAAGGACAGAGTTGATTTCCAAACTGGAAAAAAAGGAATAAATATACAGGGTTTTAGAGTTTTTCTCTAATGAAACTTTTGCTTATGATTTAGGCTTTGTTTGTTTGTTTCTGATGAGCAGCTTTCCATGTGTGAATGATTCTATATTACCTCATCATTTCCAGCTATTTTCAGTACTGAATTCATTTTTTAATGATATTTAACTTTGCTCAGTATGTTGAAATGATTACCATACCTTGAATGATTTTTAGCATTGCTAGGTACAATTTTTTTCTTAAAAGCTTATTTTAAGGAGTTTTTTTTTTTTTTTAATATTCTGGTAAGGTAAATAATACTTTGCAATCAGCTTAGCATAAAATGCCTTTGCTGCAAAAATAATTGATATATATCAACATTATACATAAAACAGTATGACTTCCAAAAGCAGTAGTCTGCATTTTAGAGATTAAAACAAAATAAAACAAAAATAATGCAATCTTCTTTTAAAGCAATACTCCTAATTTACACAAATGCCTTCCTTCAATAATAAATAAATAAAATACATTCGTATACATTCTAATGGCTTGCCATGGTTATTTTGACATGTGGAAATGTATTTTTACCAAATAAACCTCGATATTTTAGATATTTTTACTAGTAGTAATGGTAGTAGTATTATCACGTTATTTATTTCTTAGGCATATTTAAATTCTGGTAAATGAAAATATTTAAAAGATTTTGGCATTTAGGGACACCTGGCTGGCTCAGTTGGTTAACCATCTGCCTTCGGTTCAGGTCATGATCCCAGCGTCCTGGGATCGAGCCCCACATTGGGCTCCCTGCTCAGTGGAGAATCTGCTTCTCCCTCTCCCACTCCCCCTGCTTGTGTTTTCTCTCTCTCTCTCTCTCAAATAAATAAATATTTTTTGAAAGAAAATTCTAAAAAAATTGGCATTTAGACATTACTTCAAAAGTTAATTTATATCAAAAAAGAAGGTATAATTCACATAATACCTTTCATGCCTTTTATCAGAACATAATATTACTTCTTTAAATTTATTTATTCTGGTAGTGTAGGTGTTAGAATCAGACTATGTGTTTTATTGCTAATGAATAACATTATTAAAATATTTTAACATTATATTATTTTTCAAAAAATTTGTATTCTTCAGTGTGCCCAGTGAAATATTTCATCTAAATGCACACTATTATAATGTTCCTTAATCTTTTCCCCATAGTCAGGATTAACAGGAGGAAAAGAAAACGATTTTTTCCATGTAGAATTTCCACATAGTCTTTGGCAAGACAGAGGCTTTGTTGTTTGTTGTTTGTTGTTTGTTTGCCTGTTTTTTTTTTTTTTTCTAAATCCATAGGTAGTATCTCTATTCCATGAAAGGGAATTTTATTGAATGTAATTTCTTCCTATTATTTTTTTAAATTTATAGATGCTAAGCTCATTATTAAATCTAACTATATCAAAATTTAAGAATACCATCAAATAGTTGGAGGCTGTATCTTTACATTTTTTTTTTTACATTTAGTTTCATTTTGCTTATATACTTTACGTATGTTTGCTTCAATTATCATTGTGCTCATCATATAACCAAAATTGTATTGGTCAATGGGAATTTTAAAGAAAGTGCTAATTGCAATATCACCATGAAAATATTACCTCATGTTAGTTTTGTCCTGAGATTGAGAACCCTGACTGTAATAGCCTGGAAAGATTGTGAAATTTCTTTTCAGTGCAGACATCCTTCAATGCATTAACTGAAACAGTTTCTAAAAGTCAGTTTCCAAAAGTACTTAGGTGGATTCAGTAAAAAGTTTCTTAAGGCACCTCAATTACTGCATGCACAGATTTGAAAATTACAGTGTTTCTCACTACCTGATATTGCTTTAATCATTGCTGGAAGGGGATGCTTATATTTTCACTAGCATGATAATGGCAAAGAAAATCATTTGTGTCACGAAGAGAAAAAGTTACACACACACAAAAATCCTACCAAAGAGTAGAGATTCGACCTGCAACAAAATTAATTGTGGTAATAACATTTCCCTTTGCAAGTTATTCAGTTATTCGCCTCAGTCTGAGCATGTGTGTCTTGATTCAGTGCTCTGCAAAGTCTGCTGTAGAAGGGTTTGGGAATTTTTTATTTCCCCTGAAGAGAAAGAGACACAGAATGAGAATGATCTTTTTGAAGATGAACCACTAACTTCTGTCTCATGTGACTTTTCTCTGTGCAGATGTGATACTTGCAGCAATCCGTGACCTTGAGCATAGGAGCTCTCACCCAGAGAAAATGCCAGAGTGGAACAGTTGTAGAAGTGTGGGTCTTTGGAGAACATTACTATCCTGAGAAACAAACCCTGGGGACTCCTGCCTTGGATTCATCATTAAATAACTATAAACTTCCTTCTGTTTTAACTGGTATCTCAAACCGGGGTACTTGTACCCTAGGAGGGGGACTTGTTCCAAGACAATCAAATAGTATTGTGGTATAAATATTTGGGGGGGATCAATTAATAAATGCGCTTTTTAAAAAACTGTTAAGACTAAGTATTCATTTCAGTTGGCATGATTCTAGCTCTACATCTCATTTTATGATCATTCTTCTCCCACTCTAAAATAGAATAACATCATCCAAGAGGCATAGAAATTCTTTTAGAAAAAAATATAATGAAATTTCAGGTCTTGGTAATAGCTGACTATGTCATACCAATTAAATGATCTGGAATACATACGTGTGTGTGTGAAAGTGTGTGTGTGCGTGTGTGTGTGTGTTTAAGTTTGCATGTCTGGTGTTTGGACTTTTGTTTCAATTGGAACATAGAAAGTCACATGACAATAAAAATTACAAACTAGATGACCTATAAAATTATAGATTTTTAAAAAGATTTTATTTATTTATTTGACAGAGAGAGAGAACAAGAGCACAAGCAAAGGGAGTGGCAGAGGGAGAGGGAGAAGCAGGCTCCCCGCTGAGCAGAGAGCCCAACGTGAGGCTCAATCCCAGGACCCTGGGATCATGACCTGAGCCGAAGGCAGACCAGACGCTTAGTCAACCGAGCCACCCAGGGGCCCCCAAATTATAGATTTTTAAAGTTCATTATAAAATTGAGGGCTCAAAGCAACATAGGTACCAAAATCCAGAGAAGTAAAAAACCCTCTTAACACAGAAGAGACCTATACCGACTTTCGTCTTTGCTAGAGCAGCAGGAAAAGGAGAAGCTGCAGTAATCCTAGGGTGAGAAGAGAACAGCTGAACTCCTAATGAATTGTTAAAGTTGGAGCATATGCCCGTGTAATGACTTAGAATCACGTGGAGCCCCAGATATAAGGAGAGTCTGTACTCACCTGCCAACTTTTCTGTGCAGGCATTTACCAAGCCCTTGTAAAAAAGATTAGGGGCAGGGTAAGAGCTGAGAGATAGCCCTCCCTTGGGGCCATCATGAGTGCCTCCAGGCACTCCAGGCTTTCAGCTGTCTCGGCCCAGCTGAACCAGACTCTGGTTGCTCTGGGAGCAAAATGTCCCAAGGCACAGGCATAGACACAAGGTTCTGGGAGCTGAGCATACCGTTGTACACTGAGGATGAGGTCAAAGCTACCTTTGCATGAGTGAGGTAAGGGATGGTGAGAAAGACCCACATTGCCAGGCTGCTCAGGCTGCAGGCAGGGTAGAAGTGAAGAAACACTTCTGTTTTCTAAGATCGACAATGAATTGTGAACCTCAAATTCCGCATTCAGCAAAACCATCATCCAAAAATAAATGCGACGTAAAGACAGTTTCAGACAGGTTAAATGCTGTAACACCCATTGCAAGTTAACCAGCATGTACCCACAACATTTTCAAAAATGATTTTTTGGACTGAAGGGAAATTATACCAGAGAGAAAACTAGGGATAAGGATCACCAGAAAGTATAATGTGTCAGGAAATATAAAAAGCTTTTTAATATCGAGATGTTAAATCTCCATAAAAGACTATCAATTTTAGAGAGTAAAAATAATAACAATGCTGTGGTCTCAGAGCATATGTGAAAGTAGAAGAGTTGACAACTAGAGTACAATGTACCTCAGAATAGTTGGAAGCATATTTTTGTAAAATTCGTATATTACTTGTGAAGTAGTAGAATATTTTTGAAGATAGCTATGTTAAGCTACGTTAAGATGCATATTGTGATACTGAGAAAGCACTGAAAGCAGCACAATTAGGCATAACTAAATCAATAGAGGTGAAATTGGCAATGAAACAAATGCCTGGGGCACCTGGGTGGCTCAGTGGGTTAAGCATGTGCCTTGGTTCCGGTGGTGATCGCAGGGTCCTGGGATCGAGCCCTGCATCCGGCTCCCCGCTCAGCAGGAAGCCTGCTTCTCCCTCTCCCTCTCCCCCTGCTTGTGTTCCCTCTCTCACTGTGTCTCTCTCTGTCAAATAAATAAATGAAATCTTAAAAAAAAAAAAAAAAAAGAAATGTCTGACTGATCAAAAAGAAGGAAGGATATGAGAAACAAAGAAATAAAAAAGCAAATGGGAAAATATAAGACAAACATCAGGGAGGTAGAATTAAACTCCAATGTTTCAACAAATATTAAATGAAATTATATTAAACACCCTAACCAAAAGGCAGAGACTGTTAAAAGCAACAGTGGTACTCAAAAGAAACAATATTTAAACCTAAAGACACAAACATGTTGAAAGTAAAAGATGACAAAGTTATCTATCATACAAACAGGAATGATTAGAAAACTGGTATCACTACATTAAAGTAACACAAATCCTCCTTCAAAACAAATAGTTTTAAGGAAGAGATAAAGAAGGACATATCATAGTATTAAAATGGCAAATTCCAATGGAATGCACATGCCATATTCTTTCAGGTTGATAACGTATTCACAATTTTGCCAAGAAAACTCAAATTTTGAGCTATATTTGGTTATCTATTTAGTCCATTTGGACATATTCCCAAAACAAAGAAGCAAACTTAAAGTTAATATTTATTCCCAAAGGTTAATAAAATCTCCATCTTTAAGCCTCAGGAACTAACTGCAGGTAATTTATAGAGAATCGCCATCCCTTCTTGCTTTTTTTTATGTATTTTCATAAATTTTTAAGTTCTAACTCCAGGGAAGATATGCTATAACAGTATTTTCTATTTCTTCACCTATTTCTACCTAAATCTCTAATCCTTACCTTAACATTTCTTACATTTCCGTGTGTATTATAACCTGAGAATCTTGTTAGTAAACAGTCTGAGCCCAACCCCCTAAAACTCAGATTCATCAAGTTTGAATCAAAATTCAAACCTGGTATTTTTTTAAAATTTCCCTTTGTGATTTTGAAGCATGTAAGCCAACAGCTATATCTGAAGAAATACTATTCCAGTATTTTCTGTTATGTTGTTTGCCAGACTGAGTTTCCTCCAGAATTTGGCCTCTTTCTTCATCTTTCATTATCACTCCGCTAAATTGTAGCTCTGGAGAGCTATATAATTGCTATTCCATGTCACTGGCGGAAGGGGGCACTCTCTACTCCAAGTGTGAACCACGTAGTAGTTATCAGAGGAGAACTTTGTAAAATTGTAGTAAGGAGAGACATGATGTTGTGATTATATAAATACACATTAATATGCCATTTAAATATTCAGTTGTTATGCTTGAGAATATTTGATGGTTATGTTGGAAACAGCAAAATGTCAAATTACGTGTGAGAAGTATGGGAGAGTCATATACAAAGAGGATGAGGAGACGGAGCTATTATACCTTTTTATAGAAGAATCTTCTATAGAAACACTGGACTTGGAGATGGCACAGTTTGTTTTCTTGGTAGTTTTGTGATTGTTGTCTTTTGCTAAAAGTTGAGGTCGCCTGCATTTCTGATTGGACATCTGATTTGGGTAGACATGAAGGTCAACCCTGTCTAAATGAGTAAAGCAATTCGAACAGGGATCCAATGGACTCACGACATTTCTGAAACACGCAAACAGTGCTTCTTTACCACCTACTCTGGGTTGGTTTCTGATAGCCAAAGTCTGTGTACCTTCTCTGAAACAAAATACTAAATGTGTGTTTTATTTAGATATTCTGAAGAAAGTAAAGCAGATTTTATTCTTTTAAACATATGACAGTAACTTCAATAATTACCCTATTCTTCTCTTTCCACACTTACAGGGATAGATGAACTCTGTAAGCAAGTGATTTGCCCGGGCCAGGAAAGAAGGGAGATATGATTTATAATTCACCCAGCACATGGCTTGGTACCGCATTCCTTCCTAGCCTTGAGGTGTTTGGAAGCAGTTTTGCCAACATTGGGGATGTACATTGCACTCCAGGAAATCATCCAGACTTAAGGCAGATACATATAGTCTTTCTAATCCTAGGACGACCAGCTCTATGCCCAACCTACTGTCAAAGAAAACTGTATTCTTTTTGATTAACTAATCTCCTAATTCCACAGTCCCTCAGACTTCATTATTACGGTACTTGGTTCATTTACTGTTCACATTCCTGTTATCTTACTGAAAGATAACCTAACACCTATCTTTTAATTTTATATCCCTCATGAGTTTTTGATATTTTTCATGAAGAAGTCATATCAGGGAATAGATGATAGACAAAAAGGGAAACACTATTTTTAATTGACCAAATAATTATTTAAATGCAATCCTCTTAAAATGGAACTTCAATGGCATCTTAGCCTGTTTTGAGAAACAAATGAGCAGTTAGTGGAGAGAAAATAAATGTACTCATGAAGTAGCAACAAAGTTTATCACTCAGCAAGTGCATTTTATTTTTTATAAATGCACCATTGGTTAGCACAGGAAGCAAAAGGAACACTGGTATTAAAATGCAAATTAACTGCTAGCATAAAAATATTGATATTTCTCCAAATTTTCCTCAAGGTGATTTTTACCCATTCTAATACTTACAATTATTTGATGAAATTTTCAAAATTACTTATTAAAAGTAATTTTAATACTAAAAAGTAATTTTCTCAGCAAAACAAATATTAAAAAGCTAGAATACAGTGATGATTTTTCTAGTTTAACATTTTGTTATTTGAGAAGTAAGACTTTTTACTAATTATATGTTGTCTGCAAGGAAATGCTAATAAATGGATGCCTGAATTACTTTCGCTTATCTCAACTTTTAAATATGAAACATAAAAATTATAAAATGATACAGTGGACAGGCTAGAAATGCAGTATTCAGGTATTACACATGGTAGATGCTGAAGAGCTTATTTATGTATTTCTGATGCTGTAACTTTCATATAAATGGTAACTCCCAAAGGGAATACGTCATATTATGTCTACAAGTCATATATATTCTCACATAATTAAAACTAATCAGTGTGCACCACTTGTTAAATGGGTTAAAACAAAGATGGGACTACACGTGTGATGAAAATAAGTACAATGTTTAAATAAACTTTACAATAACAGTTAATAATATGCTGCTAAAGTTTTTATATTTATAATGGCTTTTTTTATAATACTGCATACTAAAATAATTAAAT